TTTTATAAAAGGACATTTAACCCACCTTTATTCTGATTAAAAAATACTACACCTAGATTGATTGTAAACATATGTTTTTTAATGTCGTCTAAAAGATAATGGACTTAGAAACTATGGATTTGGGTGAGTTGTTGACCAAAAGGTTGTTTGACACGCTGGATAAGGGAACTATCAGGTCAATACACTTGGGTAAATGTGGCTCGGTTTATGATTATGCCTAATAAGGTGAGTTCTGAAAATATTGATAATCATCTAATTGCGTATTTCTGAAAACATATTTTTCTAAATACTCTTCCTCATTGCTTGTTCCCCATCCCCATATCTACTCATGGAGTTATTTATAACTTACACATGTAAGATGCAGATGTTGTTCCAAATTAGTAGATTGCATGGATTGTTATCCTTTGGAGAGAGCTACTTTTACAGTTATTTTGGTAGGTGATTGTCATGGCATCCAGTAAGTGTCTACCTTTCTACTCAGAGTCGTATTTAGTTGGGATTGGTCTGGTCGAGTCTTTCTTTATATTTTCGACTGTTATGAATTTAGACCTTGTATATGTCATGTAATATTTGATACTTTGGATTGTTGTCACGGGTTGGCTTATGAGATGTATTCGCCATATTATGGTCGATACTCTAGATTATGCTTATTTGCTTCTACATGTTAAGCATGTAAACGTGCAGACTGATTTTATAATACTTAATGTATATAACATTCATGTTTATATCTATGTTGCATGTGATTTCATGGTGATGGTTGCCATGAGGCACATATGATTATTGGTTTAATTATTTATTACTAGACTTGTATGGGTTAAGAGGGTAATTCTCATCAATACCTTTGCACTGATCATATTCTAGATTTGGGTTGTGACATGGACCTTTAGTTAGGAATCCAGGACAAGTAAGTATTGGTGGAATTTTTTGAGATTATAAAAAGGAAGTAGTTTCGAGATTATAAAAAGGAAGTAGTTATGAGATTTGCTAAGTCTATTGGTTTTTGTGATGCTAATCGAGTGGAAATTATAGCTATGAAAAAAGCTTTCTTATTGTTTAGCAGATATATGAAAAATTCATAAATGAAATTATGGATTGAAAACGACTCTAATAATGTGGTCAACTGGATAATAATCTTTTGAAATTTCCTTAGTGTTCAGGCTGTTGGTATATGCCTTTAAGCCAATTAGATTGGTCACAAAATATATATTGTCATTTAAAGCATATTTAATTGCATAACTATATGTGACAGAGGTTTTTTTTCATGCTAGTGCAATAATAAGGGGTTATTAAGTGCTAATTGGATAAAGCCCATGGAACATAAAAGCCTTGCAAGAAAATTGTAAAATTGTTACAATTAAGAGATCACTATACATCAAAGCCATATTCCTAAAATTATTTCTGGTCATTATATTGTCAAGACAAGGCATTGAAAATGCTCCAAGACTGGTACATGTTAAGCCTCTTTACTTGGAAAGTAAGTAATCGATCTCATAGATTGAAGTATATGGGATACTTGAGGATAACATATGGGTGCTTGTTAAAGAATAAGTTCAGTAAACATGATCTGCTATGAGAACTCCATTTGGTATTTCACTTGAGTGTTTATGGAATATGTTCTCATGTAATAGTCATGCAACCAGTCCTCAGACTTGAGACACCAGGTCATCTTGTATGGAGAATGACATTCTTTGATTTCATCTCTACGGGTTTGGAAGTGACCAGATGCCTAAACAGGGTGTTTTTAGATATGCCATGAAGCATGTGAAGGTGAATGAGTAGTCAAGAGAGCATTCATCACCCCAAGTAATATGAAGGGATGTATCTTACTTGTTCTCAATTCTTGATTAATTTATATAAAGTTTTTGACCAAAGCTTGATGAATTTGAAGAAAATTAATTTCCTAAATTCTTAAGGTTAATCATGAATTATGACAACTAATATGAAATGTTATAAGTAGACACTGAGCCATACTTTATGATATATCTGAGATATTTGATAAAAGGACCATATTGCAATGAGAGGCTTATCATTGAAGAGCTTTGTCAAATTCTTTAATTGACTCTCTAACATTTGGATGGTCATGATGTATTGCTAAATGTCGCTTATGATCTATAAATATTAATCAATTATCAAATTGATATTTGATTAGGATTTATATTTATTACCAATATGGTAGAAGCTTAATGGGTGACATGATTGCGATTAAATAAGGATAATTAATTAAGTTAGACTTAATTGAAAAAAATCAAAATAAAGTGAAAAATTAATTAAGTTCATAGAGACTTAATTAAATTAAAATATAATTATTGTATTTAAAGTTACAACTTAGTTTAGATATATAAATATATTATATTAGCAAACTAAAACGCTAAGCCTCTAGCCACTTCTTAGTCGTTTCATAAAATAAAAAAAATAGTTTTCTTTGTCTGACAAAAATAGGATTCAGCAAGAACTTTTAGTCTTTTTGTTTTAAAAACAAAAACTTGCTAGCACAAATAAAAATCATACTTTTGAGAAAGTCTTATTCAATCATTATGTGAATTACTGTTAGAGGTTAAACACTTAGATGGCTGAATATTTGACAAATAGTAAAAGTGAAGAAGTAAAGATTTTGGATTTAATTGACTCTTCATTATGATAGTTAGAGCAAGATATGTAACTATTAAACTTATGAGTGTTCATAACTAATTTAAAAATTACATGAAAAACAAAAACATTGATCCTATAATATTCGACTGTTTCTTTCATTAAATACTATTTTGTTTTTTGACTGCAGTATATTTTTAATTTTTTGATTATTTTTTAATTTGAGCATGAGATTGAATCCCAACACAGGCAACATATGATACAAATTGGTTGTTTGTAAAGCTCAATTTTCAATTGGATGGTCACACATACACTTAGAGAGGCTAATGAAGAGGTAGATGTACTAGCTAAACAAGGTGTAACACGTGAGAGTGATTTATTCTAATTGGTCAGCTTAAGAATTTTTTATTAAATGTGAAAGGAAAATTCTAATTGCCATGAGAGGAGAAATTTCTTAAGCTGTTTGAATATAAATTGATCTCTGCAACTGTGTTTCACTTAGACTCTAAATTGGAGTTGAAATCCTTCACGATACATATTTATCGTAAATTCAAAACTAAAACTTTTGACGTGGGAAAGAGGCTACCTAGAAAAGCAACTCTACTTCTATATGAATACTCGAATTGTTGGATAGTTTTATTAAAAGTTATGTGGTGATAGTGGACAATGAGTGAAGTTTGTTTGAATTTGAACATTGGGGGCAAAATTTTATATACATTAAGGACTTGATCATGAGTTGGACTGTCATGTGGACAAGCAGCCGGAGGCTTTTGTAATGCTTTAACTCGTTGAAAGCCTCTCAAGTTTGGGCTTGGATATCCTTTAAACCCAAGCCTTTAGTTGTATACAGATCTTATTTAGCTTTTATTTTATTTGATTTTCATTGTAATCATAAAATCTAAAATTTTTATAATTTTAAATATTTAATAATAAAATTACATACTTTTTTTAAAAAAATAAAAAGTTATTTTATTTAAAAATAATAATTATGAACTTTTCCAAGTATTATGTAAACTTAAAAAAAAAAAATCAATAAAGCCTACATCTACTTACTTTTGTATTGAAATTGAGCTTGGACAACCACAGATTTTTCGTGGTAATGTAACATAAACTCATCCTGAATTCACTCTAATCAAAGTATCAACACCTTTAAGCAATAGTGACTTTCTTCTTCCTTCTTCTTTAGTATTTTTCAATCTAGAACAAAAGTGCAGCCACACTTGAACCTGGGAAGGCCAGAATTTTCCAATACTTTTAAATATAAGATAGATGACTTGTAGACCTTGGGTCAATTCATTCCTCAAATTTAAATAAAAAGAAAAGTTATGCACTTTGTTTTAATGGCAAAAATTTATTACTTACAGTCACATGTAATATGCACTTGTTCAACATTGGAAATTAATTCCTCTAGTTTTAGATATTTAATTTTTTTTATATAATTGGGAAAAGAGATTGGAACCCTTCTTTTGAAGTAGAAAATAATGCATCAACCAACGAACCAAATGCTTGGGTGTTGGTTTTAGATGTTTAATCGCTTTTTACTTTGATATTGATTAAGAAAAAAAAGAGCTTTGGATTGTAATGTAGAAAAAAAATTGGGATATAGTATTTAAAAAAGTTCTTGAACTTTTTAACAAAATAAAAATAAATATTTATCTTTTTATCGTATTTAATTAGATTTTTATATTTTATTTTGAGCTAAATAAATTTTTATAAATAATTTTTATTAGTAAAAATATTATTTATTATCTTATACCACGTGACATTGACGTAACACGTTAGCATGTCATAATGTATAAAGACGTGACATGCTAACGTAACATGAAACCTTGATCATGTGATATTTTCATCTTCTACGTGAGTGAAACATAAGTATAAAATAATAAGTGACATTTTAACTAATAACAATCAATCAAGCATTAATTACAAAAGGCTTAATCCTAAATATATAATTTGATCCCATTTGCAACCCAATCATCTTTTTGCTTTCTTCTTTTACCTTATATGCAGAACAAGCCATATCATAAATTTTTTATGTCTTGTCACTACCTTCTACGGGTAGTTTTATGTATCTCATTTAGTGTGAAATAGAATTAAAAAAACTTAATCGAATGTTAAAAAAAAATAAAGATTTATTTAATTCATTTAAATAGTTTAAGAATTTTTTAAGTGAAAAAATTGAAAAATAGCATACTTTTGAGTGTAAAGTACTAGATTGACCAGGGTCTAGGCCGTAAGCAGGACTCCTAAACCAAAAAGTCTTTGAAACGCGTTTTTCCTAATTGCAGGCTGTAGCATTCAAAAGTGGGCTCTTCTTCCGCCAATGGCTTCCCCTCCCCTTCACCCCCACTTGCAAAGACTTTGAATTGTTGTTCTTGCCCATATTATTCAACTTCCATGCAAAGACCAAAGTGTGAGTGTTAGAGTCAAAGTCATCAAACAGAAAGTCACAAAGAAATGAAAGCAACTCTCTCCCTACACGCACCAAACCAACACTGCAATGGCCGTTGTCAGTCAGTCTGTCCCCATTTCATATTGTGTTGTATTTGCAGTCAACTCCACTCCCAACACGCCCAGAGCAAACATCTTTCTTTTCTTCTCCCTTCTTCCCGTGAATTTCCACTTTGAAAAAGGCAAATCCCATCACCAAGCCACCAATATCTCTCTCTGTCTGTCATGTAATTCTAATCCTATTCCCTTTTATTCTCTTCTCTGCTCTTTTCCTTACTCTTCTGTCTCCTTTCTTGCCCTTCTCAATCCTGACAAGGAGAGCTCGGTGAATAGTCTTCTCTACAATGAGGAGTTGCAGCATTTACAGCCCTTATCTGCTCATAAATTTCTTCTTCTGTTTATACCCTTTGGTTTTCTGTCAACTAGCTTCAAACCAGAAGAACCTAATGATCAATATTTCTCAGCAGCTTGACATCCCAAGTTCCCCTTGGAATTCTACAAAAGAGCCGAACCCGTGCCGTTGGAAAGGAGTTACATGCAGCATCCCTCTCAACAACTCCGTAGTGTCTCTTTCTTTATCCGGGTTTGGTCTCTCTACCTCTAACTTTCTACCTATGTTTTGCCAGATTGATTCTCTGCAGTCTCTTAACTTGTCAAACAACTTTTTGGAGTCAATCCCTGTTGAGTTTTTCAATAGTTGTGGAAGGATTGATGGGTTGAAGAGCTTGAACTTTAGCAAGAACGAGTTGGTTGGTTCTTTGCCTACTTTTCATAATTTTGTTGGATTGGAATCCTTGGATTTTTCTTTCAATTCTTTGAGTGGAAGTATTGATTCACGGTTAAATGATTTGGTTGCACTCAAAAGATTGTATCTTAGTTCCAATCGTTTTAATGGCTCTGTTCCTAGCCGAATAGGACAACCAATGGTTTTGGAACAACTTGAGCTTTCCAAGAATAGCTTCACAGGTCCAATACCAACTGATATTGGAATCAATCAGAATTTGGTCCTGATTGATCTTAGTTTTAATAGCCTTAGCGGACCTATTCCTGAAAGTATTGGGAACCTCACCAAGTTGCAAATGCTCATTCTATCTTCCAATCTGTTGACAGGGTTGATCCCTGCAACCCTTTCAAGTATCACAACGCTGCAGAGGTTTTCAGCCAATCAAAACAATTTTGTTGGCTCAATTCCTAGTAATATCACAAAATTTCTCAAGATTTTAGATCTTAGTTATAATAATTTAAGTGGGAGAATTCCATGGGACTTTCTGTCACCATCAACCTTGCAGACGGTGGATTTGTCTTATAATAGGTTGGAGGGACCAATACCTGGAAGAATGTCTTCAAATTTGATCAGGTTAAGATTGGGTAGCAATTCACTTATTGGCCCTATCTCTTCAATAGATTTTGCATCACTTCAGAATTTGATGTATTTGGAGTTGGAAAACAACAGCTTTACAGGAATGATACCTCCAGAAATTGGCTATTGCTCCAAGTTGGCACTCTTGAACTTGGCTCAGAATCAGCTGAATGGAACATTGCCAGTGGAGCTGGTTAATCTTACTAACCTTCAGGTTCTGAAACTGCAACTCAACAAGCTTGGTGGTGAAATCCCAAGTCAAATTGGCCAATTGCGTGTGTTATCCGTGCTTAATATCAGCTGGAATTCGCTTAATGGCATCATACCTTCTTCAATTTCAAATTTTGGAAATCTTCTTAGCTTGAACTTGCAAGGCAACAATCTCGCTGGTTCTATACCTGATCAAATTAGTAACTTGAATTCTCTGCTAGAAATCCAGCTTGGAGAAAATAAATTGAGTGGCAAGATTCCCTCTATGCCGCTAAATTTGCAGATTTCTTTGAATCTCAGTTCGAACCTCTTTGAAGGACCCATTCCAAGGACTCTTTCTGGACTGCTTAGTTTGGAAATTTTGGATCTCTCTAACAACAAATTCTCAGGTGAAATTCCTGGTTTCCTGCTTGGCTTGTCTTCACTGACACAGCTAATACTTTCCAATAATCTACTATCCGGAATTATTCCTAAGTTCAGTTCACATGTTTTACTGAATTTAAGTGGAAATCCAGGACTTTATAATGCAACAAATTCAGTGTCAAGTAACAACAGAAGACCAATTGCTGTGACAATTGTCATTACACTTGCTGCAGCTGCTCTTGCTGTAGGGGTAGTTGCAGTTGTTTTCCTACTGATCTCAAGACGCTTGTACAAGGTTAATAATGCGCAAACACAATCATGTCAAGAACTTTCTCCTCCTCAGATCATGCAAGGTAACTTTTTGACAGCAAATGGAATACATAGATCAAATATTGACTTTGCCAAAGCCATGGAAGTGGTTGCCAATCCAGCAAAAGTTGTTCTGAAAACCAGGTTTTCCACCTATTACAAAGCTATCATGCCATCAGGAGCAAGCTATTACGTCAAGAAGCTTAACTGGAGTGACAAGATATTCCAATTGGGCAGCCATGATAAATTTGAACAAGAGCTAGAGGTGTTGGGGAAGCTAAGCAATTCAAATGTCATGATTCCTTTGGCCTATGTATTGACAGTTGATAGTGCATATCTATTCTATGAATTTGCCCCAAAGGGTACCCTCTATGATATCCTTCATGGCAGCTTGAAAAATTCTTTGGATTGGGCAAGTCGTTACAGTATAGCAGTTGGAGTAGCTCAAGGTCTTGCTTTTCTGCATGGATGTGCTTCAAGTCCGATTCTCCTCCTTGACCTTTCAAGCAGAAGCATTGTGCTTAAGTCTCTGAAGGAGCCACAGGTTGGAGACATTGAGCTTTGTAAAGTAATCGATCCATCCAAGAGCTCTGGAAGCCTTTCCACAGTAGCCGGTTCTGTAGGCTATATTCCTCCAGGTGAGAACTCTGACATGCATGCTTTTACTTGTATTTTTATTACTGCCATATGTTCTGTTGCTTAACATAGATGAAAAATATATACTTCCTTTAAACATGCAGCACTCTGTAGTCCTAATCCTTTTCATTTCAATTCTTGGTGGTTTGCAGAGTACGCTTATACAATGAGGGTAACAATGGCTGGAAACATTTATAGCTTTGGCGTTATACTGCTGGAATTGCTGACAGGAAAACCCGCAGTTAGTGAGGGAACTGAGTTAGCCAAGTGGGTATTGAGTAACTCAGTGCGGCCGGATAAGAGGGATCACATCCTTGATTTTAGTATCAGTAGGGCATCACTGGTGATCAGAAATCAGATGCTTGCAGTCTTGAAAGTTGCTCTTGCTTGTGTTAGTGTTTCACCAGAGACAAGGCCCAAAATGAAGAGTGTGCTAAGGATGCTCCTCAATGCAAGGTAATTCCACCACGGACTTTGTATTGTAACCTTGATTAGCTACTGAGTTTGTTGTTTCATACAAATCACAGATAGATAGAAGAAAACTAGTTTTGTCACACAAGGCAATGGCAGCCCTTGGAAGGCAACCAGCATGTAGAAATGGTTTGTTTTGAATGCATTCTCATATGTAATAAAATAGTATGGTTTGTTTTGAATGCATTCTCATATGTAATATAATAGTATTGTCACACAAAGACCTGTAAACTTAGTTATAAAGAGCAGTCAAGCCACTGTTCTGATTGTTCTGGTTTTTGTTTTGTTCTTTTAATTCTGAGAACTCAAACACAGCCTATCAGAAGGCAATCAAGAAGGAAAGAAAGAAGAAACAGTGCAGACATTGTATGCCCTAAGAATCAGCAGCAAGTACAAAAAATAATGCCAACATTTGGGTTCACTCAGTCCGTCACTCTCACCCCCTTCTCTCAGCTTTGACTAATGAGGGCACACAAAGGATAGAAATCAAACAAGAGAACTTATTGATACAACAATGATTAAAACAGTCAAAATTTAGTTGACAGCATGTTGATGAACATGGTTCATGGCAACAGTCAAGTTAACAAATTAACAGTAATAATAGAAAGGCTCAACTAAAAGAAAATAGAAGCTGAATAAATTGAAATAACCGTTGCTCTTGGAAATTCTCTTCCTGTTCTCCAGTGAAACCCAAACGGATTGTCATTGGCCACTGATTTTGTATCTCAAGTATAGAAGATTTGAAAAACATGAACCTTGGGAGCATGCTACAAGACAATAATCTAACAATAGTATGGCCATGGGGACCTCATTGCACAAGAGGGACGTTTGGACTAGAAGGTAAGATCTTTGGGATCCTCAATAATCTTAGCAAGGGTTTGCAAGAATGAAGCTAGATCAGCACCATAGATGACACGGTGATCTGCTGTAACATTTACCTGCAAAAGTTTAAAGTTCAAAAGTAAGTGCTTTTATTCTAATGCTGGCTATTAAAAAATAAAAATCCTAAAAAAGAACATAACAAACAGTCATTTTCTCCATTTTTTTTTATTAGAAAAGAAAGATGTATGTTACCTGCATCTGGTTCCGCATGCCAATACGGCCATCCTTGCTAGCAACAACAGTAGGCAGAGAAGCTCCAACAGCCATAATTGCTCCCTGCATAAAAACACCCACATGATTAGCATACAGTTTAATCCAGCAGGTCCTACCTGCCTCTCAGGAGTCAGGCCAAGAATACTGCAAATGAAAAGATATTAATAATTAAGAAAGAATACTTACAGTTCCAGGTGGCAGAATGGCATCAAACCGGTCCACACCAAACATCCCAAGGTTAGACAAGGTGAAAGTACCTGCAAAGGGAGCAAACAACATCAACAAGCAAAATACAACCAAAATCAGATTAAGAAAACGCTCCAGAACTGTTGATAGGATATTAGGCCAGAAACCATAAATTAATCATGATTTCTTTTAAACATTTTCTGCAATCATAGACCTTATACTGCAGTTATTATATATCAACCAAAAAACTTTGTCAATGGTTTATGACAACCTCAATTTAAAACTTAACCAATTTACTAAAAAACTAACCAATCAAAACAAAAAAAAAAAGGGCAATTGACCTCATGGGAACTACTCACTCTCTGTTGAGTTTGTGTAGACACTTTATGTCAATTGAATTTTAAGTTTCAAGATACTTCAAAAATATCTTTGAATTGGATATTTTGTATCCTAGAAACTCATACGTCTCTACTCATTCATTGCTTAGTCTAGAATTCTGAGAAAATGAAAATGTCCAACTGGGTATAATAACTATGTCATTCATCAGACACAAAGGAAAAAACAAGGAATAACTTTAATTGCAAAATTGGTACATTATATAGCAACATATATAGACCAAACTTGAATGTTTGAATTTGAAAATTAAGGTGCTATTTATGCTACACCAAAGGAATCCACGAAATGAAACCCAAAAGAGATAGAAACGCCATATATTGGTGGTCTACCAGCTAACTCTCTGGTCCGAAAATTAATAGAGATGTGATGGTTTTTTATAATCTTCTTTGGTTTGCAACTGAAGTTTAATTTTATAAAGAAACTTCCAAACATTTCTGAGTTACATGCGTGGGAACTTGAAGACCCTAACAGATTGTTACATTAATTTGGTATACACATTGAACTGCCCCATTGAAAAAAGTATATAAACACCCATCAACAAACAATCTGTTTTCTCCTCATGATTTTTTACTAGCATTATTAACACTTAATAGTTGCACTAACATTTTTTGCTTATTCTTCACCTTCTTAACCAATATTTCCAATAATTATTGACAAACTTCTCCCTCTTATTGAAATTTTCATCAAACATAAGCATTTCAAATCAACATGTAAGATACAAAAAAAGCATGGTACCAAAATAAATTCTAGCATAAGTCCACAAAGCAAACAAGATTAATATATATATATATATATATCTCATCAACTTTCTATTAAAGGAACTCCTAGCTCAATTTGATGAGAATATTGACACAAAATGGCATACCTGTATTATATTCATGAGGTTGCAGTTGCTTGGCCCTGGCCTTATCAACCAACTCCTTCCACTTTCTTGACAATGTATAAATGTCAACCTGAAAGGCAATGAATGAAATAAACCCCTAATGACGTTGTTACAACTATATCACAAAAAATAGCCAGCCAAAAGTAGAATAACAAGAACCTTATCAGCATCCTGCAGAACTGGTGTAATCAACCCGCCATCTATAGCTACAGCAACAGAAATATTGATGCTACTATTATATGTAAAGCTGTTGCCATCCCTACAGCAGGAATTAACTACAGGATGTTGAACCAATGCGAGTGCCGTTGCCTTTGCAAGCAATGCTGTCATTGTTACCCCCTTGGACTTGATCTAAACAAAATAAACACAACTTATATCAACCAATATTCACAAATAAGCAAAAGCAAAACATGTCAATAATTACAATACAATAGTACCTTCCATCTACCTTATATTGACAGATTTAGAAAATTAAGATCTTCTTGGGCAAAATGTCCCAGAAAAAAATTCTAAAGATCCAAAACTAGGAAAAGGGGTTTTTTCCTACAAGCAAGTTTTCAGGCATAAGGCATATTTTTGCCCACAGGCTAATTGTAACAAAGGATGTCAAGACAAACCTCTTAATCTTGCACCTATGACCATCAATTAACCAGTCTCCAAAGAAAAAGCTAGTTTCTCAATAAGAAGCATCAAGCTTCCCTAGAATGCTTAAAATTTTACCAAGTTATAAAATATCACTGACTTTTATATAGCATAATCACTTCTGAAACCTCCAGAGAATTCACCACATTGAACCAAATGCAATCTCTTATGCATACTATCCATTGCCTCATCAATTTATAAAAAGACTCAAAAGAATACAAATTTCAAGAAATTATATCATTTTAAAACACCTTAATAAAGCCATCGTTACCTTCTTGTACAAGGCATCAAGTGCATTTGTGGTGAGGGTGTACCCAACTCTGAAAGTAGGCACAGACAAACTCTCAACCATATTCCTACTGACAGCACCCTGCATTGTAGTAAAAGGAACCACCGTCCCCAATTCAATCCCAGGAGCCACCGGAGCTGCCTTTGCCGGAGAAGCGGGCAGTGGAGCTGACTCAGAAGCAGCCACCACACCTGCGGCCGCCGCAGCCTCAACGTCCTTAGCCACAATCCTCCCCATGGGTCCAGTCCCCACCAATGCCCCCAAATCCAACTTCAATTCCTTTGCCAATTTTTTCGCATATGGTGACGCCACTATCCTTTTACCACCCTCCGACGCGGGATGCACCGCGGACCCCAAAGCTACGGCCTTCGGGCTCGAAACTGCGGGAGCCACAGGAGCAGCCGCCGGAACAGCCGGCTCCACATCTTCCTTTTGCTTTGGTTTCTCTTCTACAACCTGAGCACTGCTGCTGGAAGAAGATTGTGATTTGGCTTTAGCTTCAGCGATCTCCTCTTCAGTCTCAGCCAAGAGGGCGATGGCAGAGCCGACGGGAGCGACGCCGCCTTCCTCCACCATGATGGCGGCGAGGAACCCATCATGGAAACTCTCGACGTCCATGTCAGCCTTGTCAGATTCCACAACCACGACACTCTCTCCTTTCGAGAGCTTCTCTCCTTCGGACTTGGTCCACGAAACGATCTTACCTTCCGTCATCGTTGAGCTCAATGCCGGCATGAAAATCTCTCGGATCTTCGCCTTAACTTGAAGGGCTTGGGGCTTCCCTTTGGGACCCGAAACAGGTGTCCTGTGACGGGAGGAAGTGGAGGGAAGGAAAGAAGTTCGGAGAATATGAGCCATTGCTGGAAAAAGAAAATTGGGTTTCTTGTTTTGAGGGAGGAAATGACTAATGGGAGGAATTCAGGCTATGGCTTCTTGGGGAAGTAGCTGTTGTTGTTAGCTGAGTTATGTTGGTGATGGGGTTAAAGTGGGTTTCCTTGAAAACATCGAAACGAAGAAAGAAGGGGCGGAGGAATCAACCAACTTACCGGTGACAGTGATGCTGACTCAGTGACTCGTGTATGTTGTTTTATGGTTTGGGTTGGGTTTCGTTTGGTGTCTTTCTTCTTTTACTAATTCAGCCTGTATACAATGATATTTGCACTTTTTCTCACTATTTTGCTTTATTTGTGTAGTTCTCCCAATTAGTTTTCTTTTTCATGTTTTTACCCAAAACTCAATGAGTAGTTTACAATTAGGTACTTGTATTACTCATATCCGATTAAATAAGATTATGATGCTCTATAATCAAGTTCGATTAAGGTTTAAATAGTAAAAATGTTATCTGCCATGAGTTTAGGTAGGATTTGGGGAGTGGTTTTAAGTTTTTACTATCTGAATCCGATTAATAATTTTTAATATTTAATGTTAATTTTATATATATTATTTTTATTTATTAATTCTTTGTAATTAATATAACACTTACTAAAATTCATTAATTCTTTTAAATATAATTATAAAATTTCATTTATTTTTTATAAATTAATTTTAATTTATTAATTTTATTTTTTTATTAATATATATATAATTAGTTTAAATTTATTTTAATCGAGTATTTAATGGATATAGGAATTTAAGAAGTAGTGTCTAAGCTATTAAAGTAAAAAGTATTTTATAATTTATTTAAAATACTAATAAATTTTTAATTGTAAGTTTAATATGATTTTTTTTGTTTTTAAAATATTAAAATATTAAAAATTGATAATTTGTTTAAGATATTAATAATTTATAATTAAAGAAGGGAGAGCACAACCACAAGGCAAAAAAAACTATAAATCCAAGGCAAATGTACTTGTTTGGTTGAAATGTCCTTGTGGGCAATTGGGCAACCTATAATTGTGGACAATTCACACCAAGGATTAAAACTAAACTTAATTATTCATCTAATATACACTTAAACTTAATTATTGAAATATTCTCATGGTAGATGAATAATGCATTCGAATATTTGACTCATTGATTGATGCATAATCCCCTACGTAGAATTCAAAAAAAAAATTATTATAAAAAAATTAAATATAATTAAATTAGAATACAATATTACAACTTCCAATGATCAAGATGATAATTTGATGTATGTACCTGATGTGTTCGCAACTTGTTAATTGCCTCAAAAATGAATTAATGGTGGAAGAGGTTTTCACGGATGAACAACTAGGGTTTTTTTTTTTTCCTTTTTGGTTTTCTATTTTATTTTTATTCTTTTGTAGATAAAATATTATAACTTTTTATATGGTTTTTTGCAATTATGCTGACCTGCTGCCCAGATGCGCATTTTGTCCACACAAAAATTTTGCCTTGGATTTATAGTTTTTTGCCCTATAGTTATGGTGCCCCTTAAAAAATTAATATGATTGTTTTATTTTATTTTTCTTTTATTCTTTATTTTAAAATATTAAAAATCATAATTAAAACTTTAATTTATTTTTTTAATTTGAAATATTAATTATTTATAATTAATAATTAAAATTTTTAAAATTTATTATTTCAAATTCATTTTGATTTTTTTTCTTCTTTTCAATGGTCGATCATCAAAGATGTGTTTGGCATAATGTACCAACGATCTGACACTTTTACAGTCAAATTTAATCGTTATAGTGCCATATTGATGCTTCTTACAATTAGTCATAGAGAGTTAAATCCAACTACAGAGATTCGATTGTGGAAAGCTAGAATTTGGCCATGGAGTGGTGTATTTAGCAATCAAATCCATCAATAAAGGCACCAATGCCATTGTCGCCCTTTACGATCCTCCTTTAGTGGAGGAAATTTAAAGATGAAAGGAAAAATGTATATGAGTAGAGATAAAAAAAAAAAGGAAATGAATAAATTCTTTCTAAACTCTTTTTTACACTTTTTTATATACTCGTAATGTATACCTAATTACGCGTTATGTTGAAACTTTTATCTATACTCAACTATTAAAGATTGTTGGAGAGAATGTGTTTATTTTACTTGTTTTTTATTGTGTAAAATATTTTTTACTTGCTTTTTATACAAACCTCATTGAGAGAGTTTAGACAAGTGTGGGAGATTTGGGCAATTGCAAGTATAGTATAACATACATAATTTATGTCCACTACTCAAGTAAGTATGTGGCATTTCATATGGCCATAGGAATTAATTAAAATGAAATTTTTGCATGTCACCTGAGTTATTTCATTAGAAATCTTTTAAGAAAGCAATACCTCATTATGATTTTAGGAAAGCAGGTAATTAGACTGAGAACAAGAATGAAAATATTCTCAATCTTAAATCTCACACTGTAAATTGAAAATTTCACATTCTCAATGTTAAATCTCAATCAACTGCTTGTAAAATAAAATTGAACTTAAATGAAGTTTTGATTGTTTAGAGAGAACAAGAGAAGGTTTAGAAAGAAAGTAACTCGTCTCCTTACCGAAAGAAGACAAATAACCTTAAATCGAAAAGAAAAAAAAGTAAACTCCCAAAGATTTCTAAGAGAAACGTGCAAGATTTGCAAAAACTTTTGAGAGAAACCTTGGAGAAATAGTGAAAGAGAGTCTATAAAGAAAGTAAAAACATTAAGTAAAATATTCTTATTTTTTAAGTTTTGATCGAAATTATATGGAGATTTATTAATTTTCGAAATGGACGTTCTGTTTTAAAAAAATATTTTTTACTTGACACGTAAATCTAGTCGTTAATCAACAGTTAGTATTTTCGTCAACTTGTTAATGTGATAAAAGTAAAAAGATAATTTTACCTTTGATTAATTTTTATAATTATTATTATATAAGTTTTTTTTATTTTTTTTATTAATTAAAACAAAGCTTTCATATGGGGAGCACTAGAGCCCTCGATTGGGCTCCCTTCCTTGGGAGCACCGATAGCCGATGCTTCCCATTCTTTTTTGTTTTTAAATATAATAATTATTTTTAAAATTAATAAAAAAGAGGTATTTTTATCTTTTCTGAATCTCTGTTAATGGTGTTTGCATTTTTTGATGTAGTTTTCATTTCGAAAACTAATAGACCTACTTAAAATTTTGACTAAAACTTAGAAAATGGGAGTGTTTTACTCCCAAAAAAATTAATTTTTGACTTCATTAAACATTAAAAACATTTTAATATTTATGTTCAAGATTTTAAAATTTTTTATTTTTATTTATTAACGAAGTGACATTTTATAATAAATCAACAAATTACTAATTTTATACACTATTAATACATTAAATAGGAATCTTTAATAAAATAACTATACTCGAACAAAATACACTTTCATAAAAGTGTGAAGCTTTTATATTTCTATATTTATAGCACATTATCGAGTTTAGGAATAATTTTTTTTTAAATTTTTTATTTTATTTTAAAATTTTGCATATATAATAGAGAAAGTGGAGAACAATGGGAGCAAATCTTGCACAAATGAGTTGAAATCTCCATGTATCTCTCATTCCCAAACATTGATGTTTAGCAACCCTAAGATGACTTGCTCGTTTACCAGGAGACAAAAACTCCTTTCCTTTAAAGGCAAATCAACCCACCCAACTCACTTTTACATAAATCATTTTAATTTTAAGGTTTGAGTAGGCAGTTTCGAAATTATAATTTCAAATCACTTGTGTAAGATGAGCTTGAAAATTTTGAATTATGGATCGTTTAATAATTTTTTAAGTTTTCAAATTCAAATATTGTAGTGCACATTATCATTAAGTTGTGACGTGAAAAAGTAAATTAATAAAATAATTTTTATATAATATCATTCCATTAAATGATTATTTCGGAAGAAATTAAAATAACTATAACCGACAAAGGATCTGTAATTAATATTCTGGAGATTAAGTTATAAAATATTTTTGACAAAAATACCCTTAATGATTTAAAACAGTCCAGAAATGATGAAGTATTCCGTTCGTGTAAAAGGAAAAGAATAAAAGGAAGGAGATGTGAGCTTTAGATCTGATTTTTGAAAACATTTTAAGCCGTTGACAACAAGGACAGGGAAACGGCGATGGGACAAGGCAACGCGGACAATCGCCTTAAACTACGCCGTTTCGGTGCTCTATTTTGTTTACTTCCCGACGACGTTTACTTCTTTATACTTCCTTCGCTGATCTTCTTCTTTATTCTCATTGTACAAATAATTAGCATAAACTAATATATTAATCGTCTTCTTCTTCTTGTATATATTCCAGGTGATTAGACAGATGGCAGTATTTATTTTACGCTTTGACTTTAATTTTTTTAATTAATTAATAATATATTTGCTCTGTTATTTTTTGAATAATTCTGAGGTTGGATCTGTACTTTGCGGTTGGAATTTCGGAAGAATATTCCAGCTAAATCAACTTCTTTGTTGAATTATGATTCTTTCAGATTCAGGTTCTCTTCTTTGTTGAAGGATTTATGCCGTTTGGTCGTCGCTGAGAAAATTGCTGGGAAGAGAATCAACAAGGATAGCGTAAGGTTTGTTTTGATTTATACTTATATATATGGAAACCTTGAATCAAATCAAGTTGGTATTCCCTTATTTGTCTTTTTGAGATGAAAACAACTTAATGAGATTGCCTTATATAAGAATTCTTGATGATTTCATTTCTATATCATACATATGGACAGAGAAGAATTGGTTGCTTTCATTGATTTGAGGTGCTTTTTCACCATTGATTTTGGTGGAGATAAGTTGTTTTTTTTTTTGAACCTATGGAGTAAAAGAGGTTTTTGCTTTACTGCTAAGCTGAATTGTTTTGCTACTGAAGAATATCCATTTGTGGCTATTCGATTGGTTGTAATAATGCTTGTTACTGTTTGTTTCTCTTGGCGTATTAATTTTTAACTTTGAAGTAATCTTTTTCTTTCCTTTGTATTGATACCTGTCGGTGTGTGTTTTAGTGATGAGGCACATGTATGATGGAACTTACTTTGTTTTCTCTTCACTTGTGTATGATTGAAGCTTTTCTGAAAGTCTTTTGCTGTATCTGCAAGTTATGTTCTCTTTTTGTTTGATTCAATAATACCCATCAGAAACTGAGAAACAAAAGAAGAAAAAATCTATACTACTATTTCCCTGTGCTGTTTTGCTCTTTGGAAATTTATTTATTTATTTATTGTCTTTATATTATCTGATGTAGGTTGTTGGTTCTCATCTACACCTTGTTTTCCAGTCTGCGGCGGACTGGATTGATGTGCAATGCAGAGATCACGTAGAGCCCTTCTGGAAAGAAGAGCTTTGGATAGGGCTACTACTGGAAGGAGCTACTTCTACAAGGTTTCTCTGTCTTTGGTTTTTGTTTTGTGGGGGCTTCTGTTCCTCTTGAGCTTGTGGGTCAGTCATGGTGATGGTTATAAGGGTAAGCGTTAAATTCAGAGCTCAGTAAATAATTGTCATTTTGTCCAAAATTGTTATTGTTCTCTCTCTGTGTGTATGTGTGGTCTCCATGGAGTAATTCTTAAATGTTTTTGGTTCATCATGGCTAGTCAAACAAATTTGCAGTGATTACTCTTAATTTATTAGTCATTTGGATCCTATGCTACTCTTATGTTTGTTTTCATGTGGCTTTGGTAATTCTGGCTCAACTCTGCCTTGAGTAGTTGCCTGTGAGGCATCTAGTAGGATAATGATTCAATTGAGTTTATTAAACAAAGAATCAGTTTTGAGAGAATAACGGAGTGGGTTTCATAATGTTATCACTGTGAATGACTACATCTTTACCAAATTGCAATCAAACAGCTAAATTTGGGAAGTGCAAGAAAGTGATGATAATATTGTCAAATACAATTATTGTTAAGTAATGTTGCACCAATATGTGAAACATTAATAAATATTACTAAAGAGGCTAAAGCTCAAACAAGTTCGAAGTGAGGACATAAAGAAACAAAATTTGTAAAAGGAGGAAGAATAAGTGAGAAGCAAATATTGGGATGGTACTTCGTATTCCATTTTTCAATTCTCCAACGTTTGCCACTGCAAAGCATTTTAGCAGCCGTGCTGTTCTTCTTGTTTACGGTGAACATTGTAGTCATTGGTAGCTGTCACCTCCTCTAGCCTTCACTTGTTTATAAATTTAGTGAAACTCACAACCATCAAGTTGATACTTCTATATTAGTTCTTCTATTTTCATTTGAGTGTCTTTTTTCTCTATTTTCAATCTCTGTAGTAAGCTTTTTGACTCCTTTCAGAACAAGTTTGTGGACTAGTCTTGAAGGTAGTTGGTATTTCATATGACTTCCTGTAGACGAGGACAGAAGTTTTGAGTCTGTTGAATTTTTCTTGATCTGTATCCAGAATCAGTATTAACCTTTTACTTAGGAGCTGAAATGCTTATCATAATTGTCTTTGTTGTGGAACTTTATGATGTTGTCAAGATTTCATCTCTCTGATTTATTATTTGTGTCATTGTTTTGTTTGCATAGTTGAAATTTGGTAAAGAAAATTTTTAGTACTGATGATTTTAAATCTATCTCATAAAGGAGGGTTGAATTTCTACTATTTCTGTCCTCTAGGAGTGTATTTGTCCTTAATGACATTTTCCTTGTGATTATACAGGTGTTTACTGTTCATGTTGTTCTTGGATTATTGTCTGAGACTCGAGTTATTCTTTCCATAAAAGTAGAAAATGTGGGTCTTTTTCTGTATGTATTATTTGTATAATCTTTAATCGCTGGAAAACTTTTTGCATGTCTTCTTACTAGCAATTCTGTTATTATTCTGAATATAGATGGATCCATGGCCCGTGGCTTATCGACTTGGGATGGAGCTAAGATGAGACACAACAAACATTCTGATTCTCCTGGTCAATGTTTAGCTGACGAATCTGGCTCTTTTTGTTCTCATGATGTTTTTTGTAGAAATGATGCTAAGACCACAGCTCTTCCTGCTGAATCATCTACAAGTGAAGCAAGCAAAAATCACATCTCTACTTTTGAGCAACTTGATGGTGATAACTCCATTGCAGGTGTAACATCTGAAAACAGCTCTCCAAAGTCTGATAGACTGTTGCATGCTGTGCCTCTTGGTCTTGACGAATTCAAGAGCAGAGCATTCATTTCTAGAAGTAAATCTGGTACTGGCCAGGCAGGAGTAAAACATAGAGTGGAGCCAGGGGGTAAAGAGTACAATTATGCTTCAGCTTCTAAAGGAGCGAAGGTCCTGGTATGTAACAAGGAAGCAAAGGGTGCCTCTAATATCTTGGGCAAAGATAAGGACAAGTACCTACGGAATCCCTGTTCAGCAGAAGAGAAATTTGTCACTATAGAACTTTCAGAAGAAACCTTAGTCGACACTATTGAAATAGCAAATTTTGAGCATCACTCTTCTAATTTAAAAGATTTTGAGTTGCTTGGAAGTTTGGTTTTTCCAACAGATGTTTGGATTAAGCTTGGGAACTTTACGGCCGCCAATGTGAAGCTTGCTCAGAGATTTGTTCTTAAGGAACCGAAATGGGTGAGGTATCTAAAGTTAAATCTTTTGAGCCATTATGGTTCTGAATTTTATTGTACACTGAGTGTTATTGAAGTGTATGGAGTGGATGCTGTGGAGCGAATGCTGGAGGATTTGATCTCTGTCCAGGATAATTTGTTTGCATCTGACGATGGAACACGTGATCAGAAACAAATGCCTTCAAAACTGGAGTCCACTCAAGGCGATAGTGTGTATCAAAATTCATACAAGGCAATGGGATCTGAGTCTTCAGTGGAAAACTCAAACTTGCAACATGATGTTATTAATAATATTGTTCCTAGTCCAGTTGAAGACATTCATCATCAAGTTGGCCGAGTGCCTGGAGACAGCGTTCTAAAAATTTTGATGCAGAAAGTTCGAGCTCTAGACTTAAATTTATCTGTCTTGGAGCGGTATTTAGAAGAACTGAATTCCAAATATGGCAATATTTTTAAAGAATTCGAGGAAGATATAGGAAAAAAAGATAAACTTCTAGAGAAGATTAAATCAGATATAAAAGATCTCCTTGACAGCCAGAAAATCATGGTATGTGAAACTCGTAGCTGGTTCAATAATGGTTATTTTGCTTGATTCAGGTGGATTTCGTTGTAATCATTATGTTTTTCTTCTTATCAGGCTAAAGAAATTGGTGATGTTGCTTCCTGGAAGTCTCTGGTTTCTGTACAGCTGGATACTATACTCAGAGACAATGCCGATCTCAGGTTGGTTCTGTCCCTTAATGATTAATTTGCTCAAATTTCATTACATTTTAATTTGTGTAATGAGCCTGTGGTTTGAATTTATTATTTTAAAATTATTCCCAATGATAAGCATGCTGGTGAATAAGGTGCATTTGGTTTGCTTCAGCAAGTTTTCGGATAATATGAAGTTAACATGCCTTTCCAAAAAAAAAAGTGAAGTTAACACAATTCTTCTTTCTGTGAAAAACAGACAATGCAAGGTGTATTAACATGACAGAAATCATAAAACCCAAAAGAACTTTGAAAAGGCGATTTCAACAATTTGGTTATGTTTTATCTCATTATTTAATTTGGTGTTTAAGTTTATATTTTATAAAAAGATATATTTGAAATAATAAAAGAATAGTCCATTATTAATATACGAATATTTTTGTTTTGTACTTCAGAATTTTAGGTGTACAAAACCAAAATTAAACCAAACTTGTGACATCATGAATGATAACCGAGTGTGATGCTTTGGTTTGGTTGTTTCTTGGTTTTTCTGGATGATCAGTTAACATTCACTGCACAATATAGCAATCGCTCCCCCTCTTGGAGGTGGGGATTCTTGAAAAGTTTGTGCTAAGCTACATGCACTGGTAGAAGAGCTATCAGCCTTTCCTAAGTGTAGAGATTTCTCCTTGCAGAAGACAATGATAAAAGCAGAAAAAAACTTTTAGTATTTGCTATTTGCTGTAGCTAGTTAGGGAGGGACTGATAAGCAAAACCAATGTCTAAGGGCCTTGTTTGATATGGTGTACTTTCTAGGAGGGGATGGAAACTAATAATGCTTACATTTGGATTCAACATTTTATGAGATGAAGCACTAAATTCATAAACATGCACAGAAACAAGTAATAGTTAGAGGCCTGAAGGAGAGAGATAAAAATAGAACAATAAATGGGATCTTATATATCCTGGAATTGGGTTTTTTGATTAATATGACATGCTAGAATTGGAAATATACAGAAGGAAACTTGGTTGCAGAGAACATAAATATCTGACCTTGTACCTATGATTGCACATGCAAGCATGTGAGTTCAAATATATGTACATCTCGTACAAGAAGCACCATGTTTAGAGCGTAGAACCTCTAATCAAGTCCACATCCACGTGAACCATTTGATTCTTCGTACAAGGGGCTATATGCATCAAATCCATTATATGCTACTTGCACATAATATTAAGAATTTTTTGGTCCATAGAATCTCTTTCTTAGCTTTTTGTGGGTTTTATTTATGTCTGAGTGCCGATAATTGCCATTAATTTCAGATCAAAGGTTGAAAAAGTTCAAGAGAAGCAGATATCTATGGAGAATAAGGGCATCGCGGTATTTGTTGTAAGCTTAATTTTTGGATTCTTAGCATTTGTGAGGCTACTGGTAGATATGTTGTTGAGCGTTTTCATGTCATTGAGTGATGAAAGAACAGAGAAGCCAAGGAAATTTTGTTCCTTTAGCTCTTCCTGGCTTCTCTTATTATGCAGCTGTAGCATAGTTCTTTTTATATTATCCATTTAAATATGCTTTTATGGTATCCTTTTTTCTTTCCTCCATTTCTATTGTGGCTGTTTTATGGGAGTTAAATCTCCTTGTAACCATGTAATATATTAGTACTATGTTTTACTATAAAAAAATAGATTGTCTTGTCTAATTAAAACATTTAACTGTCACTTTGATTCGATCATTAGTGTTGATACAATCACACCTAATAATTCTAATTGAGGTAATAAGAAAAAATAAGAATGATTTTTTTTATAAACTTTTAAACAAGACGTTGATTTAAATTTAGTTAAAGGTACGTAAACAAGATAATCTTTTTGAAACAAAGGAGGTAATAAGCATAACCTAACTTAAGCAACTTTGGTTGCATTTGGTGCCTTATAATGCAATCACATTTTTTATAATGTAATTGTAAGAAATGTGATTACTGGTACGATAACATTATAACGTTTGATGTATTAAAAAAAATATGATTAAAATGATGAAAAAATAACATTGTAATATTTATTTTACAAAGAGTTTATTGAAAATGTAAAGTTAATTTTTAAAATTACTTTTAGTATTAAAATATAAATTTAATATACTTATATGTTTTTTTATTGTAAATTTTTATATAATATCATTTGTTAAATAAATTTTACAATAAATAATCAAGTATCGAGCAAATCTATGTTAATATTAACTAGAAAAATAACATTTTGTTTCTTGGAAATTTTGAAAATTTTATGGGATATTGTTATTATTATTATTTCAAAATATTCCTAAAACGTTAAAAATGGAATAGGAAAATATTAAAAATCTAAAGAGATTTTTTTAAAAAATTGAAAACAAAAAATATTTTTTATTTTTAAAAATTTATTGAAAGTACAAAGAGGAAATAATTTATAATATTTTTTTCAAAAATTTAAAAATATTTCTAATTTTAAATATTTTTAAAGTGCTAAAAATTAAATTTTTAAAATTTTAATGATTGAAAAAAACACAAATGTTTAACCAACTTTGATAACATTGCAGAGTAAATAATAATATAAGATCATCTTTTTTCCTTTTTTGCATGTAAACTGTTATGAAGAATAAGATTCACAACAAAATTTGAATGCAAAATTGACAAACCTTTCAGCAGAAGCACCATTTTCAATTCAAGAAAACAAAAGAACACAACAAAGGTACCATTTATCCACAAATTTCAACCTCTATGCAAAGATATGAAGAAAGGCGGTGTGGTGATGGAGTGCTCATGGAAAAGGAGTATTCATGGTGGTAGGAATGGTTGGTGGGATGTGGAACATTGGATAAGGAAGTTATTCTCACTCTTCGCCGGAAATTTAAGCCCTTGATTGATATGGGCATATCTGAAGGAAATCTTTTCAAGATTTAGGGTTGTGGTGAACATCTACATCCCAAGGTTCCAAAGAAAGCAAGAAGTCTGATTCGTTTTTATTAGGTATAAATACGAAGAAGCGTAGAGAGAGCGATTGGATTAGGGCATGGAATGCCATTAAATGGTAAAATATTGTAGGTGAGAGAGGCAGACTAGCGGAAGGAAATTATGGCTTCGAGGAACTAATGGGAAAGAAAAGGTAGGCAAGTAGTGGAGCAGACAATCCAAAAATCCTACCGCGAAGCTCTAACAATGAGTAGAGAAAAGAAAATTGAGGTTATTAGTGGAGATAAAGCGAAAGAGAGAAATGAGGCAGTTGGTAGAGATAAAGTAAAGGAGAAAAAGGAACGTGAGGTTATCACTATTGCAACAAAGGATTTGGATTGGCTTAATTGTGGTGCATTGGGATATCTACATAGTGCAATTAGCTGCAATTTGATTCAAAGTGAGTTATTTCGAGAAGGTATTTTGGTTGATGTACGACTTGTAGGACATTTGTCAGTCCTTATTATATTTGGGAATAAAGAGGAGATGGAGGTCCTCATACAGGATTACTTTGATCTTTTTGAGAGGCGATTCCTATTGGTGGTTCGATACAACGAATAGATGAACCAGAGGAGGTATAGGGTCTAGGTGAAACTAGAGGAATTACTAATTCATGCTTGGCATGATGAAGTCTTTAAATTCATTGGAAAGAGATGGCGGAAGTATATTGGAACCGATAGAGATACAGAAAAGAAAAGACGTTTTAATTGCGCCTTAATCTTGGTGGAAGTGGATAGCGTCAGCAATATCACAAGTTCCATTAATATTCTTGTATATGGAAGCAAAGTCACTATTTAGGTGTCAATATTTTATGTAGAAAGTAGTGAATGGGCATAGCCAACAAAAGCACCACATAGAAAGTAGTGAATGGGCATAGCTAACAAGAGCACCACGACTAGCGGTGGAAAGGTCGAAAGAGGAGTTCACGATGGAGGACAGCGATTGAGATGATGAAGGGGAAATTCCAAAAATCGGGCTGACAAAAGTTGATGAGTTGGATTTGAAAAGATTCAGGACAAATGGGCATGGGAATACAAATCACGCATTGCAGGAAAGGCACTATAATGGTCAAATTATAGCTTCCTCGAGTCATGCATTGCAGGAAAAAGATATAGTCAATAGTAGGAAATCAACTGAAAAAAGGACAAAAGAGTAAGAAAGGAAATTTGAAATTTGACATGGAAAATATAAACGTGCATAAGAACTTGAGAGGTTAAGCGCCTAAAAAATGTGAGTAGGTTAGAGAATAGTTGAGGAACTAAGGGGATAGTGAAAGGCTTAGTAATGGTAAGGAAAAAAAGAACCCAAAAAAAGACAATGAAATAAGTAAAGCCCAATTGAGCAGAGGTGTGAAGGACTTAGTGAAAGTGGCTAATACAGGCCCAAGTTCATGGGCTGGGAGTCATGAAAGAAGCTATGATAATTAGACATAGCAAAAATAAAGAAATTTAGGTCATATAACAAAGGAAAACGGTGAAGGGTGAGTTGCACAAAAGAATAGAGAAAAAGAGAGGCAAAACTTGAAATTGGGTGATAGAACAGTCAATGATAAGGGTTCGGTGCTGGAAAGGAAACAAGGAAGAAAAAGAGAGAGTTAGGCCAAGAAGCTGAGAAGGCCGTTGCTGCGAATAGCCAGGTGAAAAATAACCAAAATCTCACTTTGGTTGGCTAGGCCAAAGATACTAAAATCTCTTACTTTTTAAAAAGAGCCTAAAGAAATAAGCACTCCTGCTTAAGAAAACATTATTTATTAACTTTCAACTTCAATAAATCATAACTAAACCTAAGGGTCCTATTTATAGTATTATAGGCTCACATCTTAATAAAACTCTACTTTTAGTTACCTAATACAATTAAAATAATTAACAAAAAATTTAAATAAAATAGGTGTTCTATTCCTAAATAAAACATGACTAGTTTAAAATCCTAATACAAGTAAAATTAGCAAAAACTAAATTAAATAAAATGCAATCCTAAATGTTCTTTTGTCACTCTCATCATGTCGAAAAAAAAAAAAAAACTCGACTTCGACGAGTAAGCCTTGACATACTTTTCGTAGATGTTTGGATCCACATGCTGTCACAGTCCACACCAACCATTTGAACAATTCATCCATTATTTTTAAGGTTGTCTTCCATTCATCTCCAAGTTGCATTCTAATTTTATGATAAGCACTCTTCAAATCAATGTTGAAAAACACTCTAGCACCAATGAGTTGATCAAGCATGTTTCCCTATTGAGGAATAGGAAAATCATACTTAATTGCTATCTTGTTAATGGCATGGTTGTCTATAAAGCTTCTCAATAAGTTTTCCAACTTTGTTGACCAAATTTGTTAAACCATGCTTGGATAAGGGTGAAGATACTTCATTCTCCTTAAAGACTAATAAGAGACATAAATAGTTTAACTCACGATAAGCTTTGTTTAAGCCAGATATAGTGATGAGTGCTTTATCTTCCTCTTGTCTCTTTAGTCGATTTTCTGGCTTTAATGGAGTCAACATAATTTTTACTCCATATTTGATGAAGGAATAAGTATTCTTGTATCCATCATGATGAGCTCGACGATCATATTGCCATGGGCGTCCTAACAACAAGTGGCATGCGTCCATTAATTTAACATCACACTAGATTTCATCTTGATACTTATTTCTAATAGAGAATTGAACACAACAACGCTTTGTTACCTTAACTTCGTTTCTTTTTCTCCACTATGTAGTTGGCAATAACACTCTTATAGCTTCCACTATCAATAATGACATTACAAACCTCCCTTTGGAATGTGCACTTTGTATGAAATATGTTGTGATGAAGCTAACTTTCATCTTCAGTTATCATAGCAGTGTTAAGGTTACGACGAACAACAAGAGCTTCTCCATGGTCAATAGAAACTTCTTCTATCTCTTTGTTGTTGAATATTTTTAGCCCGTCCTCTATTTCGTTATCCTATTTATCAAAAACTAATTCTAATTTTTCCTAATCCACATAATCTTCTTTTTCTATTAAGGAAATAATTCTTCGATTCAGATAATTATAAGCAATATGCTCAAATCCTTAGCATTTGAAGTACTTTTTTTTGACATTAGAAGCATGAGTAAAAGCAATCTCTTTATCATTATTGCTTACAATTTTGGAATAGTTTACCTTTAGAGGTGGAATAGTTACTGAACTTTGACTTCCATGGTTTGAGGTAGATTCTTATAGTCTAGATGAACTCACTAAGCTTTTTCGTAATTGTTGTTTCTCAACCTTTAATGTTAATATGATGACATTATATAAGTTCGAATATGGTTGTAGTTAAATAACATTTGCAATTTTAATATTGAGACCTCTAAGATAACGAGCTACAGTTTATTCTTCAAGCTCATGGACATCGCACTTCATGTGAAGTTGTTCAAACTCCATTGTATATTCTTCCATCAACATTGGTTTTTGCCTTAAGTCATGAAATTTGATAAAAATTTCTTGTTGATAATGTTCAGGAAGGAACTTACGTTTGAGTTCTCGATGCATCTTATCCCATGTTCTGATGTTGTTATGACCTTCTTTTTCTTATTGTCTTTTGAGATTTTCCCACCAAATAGAAGCATGCTTTTTCAATTTAATTGCCACAAGCTTCACACGTTTTTCATTGAGAATATCTTTGAGCTCAAAAACTCTTTCTATTGTGCAGAGCCAGTCAAGGAATTCATCAAGATAAAGTTTTCCTTCAAACTCAAAAATGTCGACTTTG